TACTATCAGAAATATACTTCACTTTGTGCAGAGTGCCACTTATATGCAAAAATATATCGCTTTACCCTTTACAAATCTGGTTTTCAGCTTTTTGCTTGCATGCTGAAAGTAGCAAGGAGTCCACTATGACCTCGCTACAAACCATCCTGTAGCTACATGACTCTCCAGTAAACTTTTTCTACTTTTTTTTTCTGTAAGGAGGGTGGTCCAAGTGATCGTCAGAGAGAGTTGTGTAATAGGTTTTTTTTAGGTTGTTAATTTAACTTTTTTTCCTATTAATAAAGGAGTTTGCTATTTATTGCCACTGGTGATCATTACCAATATAACACAATATATAATAATAATAAATATATATTCAAATGTTAAAACTGGTTTTAATCAGTCTTAACAAATAAAAGTAAACTGAGTTTAAAATCTACATAGATAGTAGGTAAGTATAGTTAGATCAAATTATATGATAATGCATAGTATGTCAATCAAAATTGTAAAGCACGGATGAGAAATATTTTGCACAGAACAAAATTAGAAACCGGCACATGTTAAAACCAGGTTTAATCAGTTTTAACAATAGGTTAGTATAATTAGTTTGAATTGTATGATAAGGTGATATAATTGTATAGTATAGGCAATCATAAAAGCGCAATCAAAATTGTAAGGCATGGATAATCGAATTGTATAGTATGGTATAGTATGGGCGATTAGAGATAGCACAATCAAAATTGTAAGCATGGATGATCGAATTATATGGTATGGTATAGTATGGGTGATTAGAGCTATATGGTTTAGGGTGCACAATACAACAATACCTATTTTAAAAACGTACTATACTCATCTCTGACCCTAATGATATATAACACTGGATTAGTATAGTACAGCTTTTAAAATAGGTATTTATACCCATACTATAGAGTCTAATTTAGCAGACAATAAAATATTTAGTATTATATGCAAAAATAGATGAATTGGAGTTTCATATATAAAGTATATCAATAATTGCAGATATAGATATATTGGTTATGAACTTGTGCTTATTAATAATTTTTCTTAACCTTCCTTAACCATATCAGCCATTTGTTAGACACATCCATAAATATAATGACCTTTAACTAAACAATAGCTATATGTTTTTTGTTCATAATTGAATTGTTGCTTATTTTCTTTATTTTCTTCAAAAGATGATTTCAATTGCTTTGGGGAACGACCTCTTGGTTGTGATATTCTGGATTTGAAATTTCAGTAATATTACAACTAGAACCTGTATCAATTAAAGGTTGTTAAATATTAGACCCAATATCACTAATAGAGATATTTGTTTGCATATTAGCATCATTATTTTGTATACTACAAGTTTCTTGTATATCCAAACTAGTATTACGACAATATTTTATTATAAATTGAGTCAAAACTCTAACTAATTTTGCAAAAATATCTCTGATACTGCAATCTGAACACTGGTCTTGGCTATTGACATTGCAGTTCCAAATTGAACCTTTTTATCAACACTTTCTTTAATAATTGGTATGTATATATTAGCAGTTCGAATTCGATTAATATAATGCAATGGTATAGGCATAAAAGTTTTAGTTCCTTGAGATATTGTGATGTGTTAATTTATTTCAGACGGAATTGAGCTAAACCAACAGGTATAAATTAGCCCAAAAAGAAAGACTGCCTTAGGTGATTGAATAAAAATTCTATATTGGTGCCAGCACGGCATTCCTAAATTTATTATTTGCATGCAAGTACAAAGTAATATCAAATCCTTGAGAATCATGACATAATGTAATTTGGATGTTGAAGTCATTGCAATATAAAAAACTTCTCAAATTTCTTGTACTTCTTCATCTGATATACCTGATAAAAGCTCTTTTAATTTAATTTGGGGTATGTCATAAAGATGCTCAATTGTACTATTGACTTCAATATCAGATTCTTTAACCTAACCAATTTCATATTCTCTTAGCATTTGTTAATAAAATACAAATTAGATTTGATATACTTGCCTGTTCAATCGTAACCAATATATCTTGATATAACAATAATTGGTTCATTTGGGCTTGTTGAAGTGAAAGTGGAATAGGCATTAAATTTTCTTCTAATACCAAATCAATTGCTTTGAAAATAGTATTGTAGATGGATGGCAGACCAGATGATAGATTAGAACCATAGTAGTACCTGATATGATTATAAATAGCCTCTTTTTCCGGTTTTTGTTCAATTGCTTTTACCAGTTCTTTCAACAAAGTACCTCAATCGATATGCTCTTTAAGAACACCATTCATTGATTCTACCCTTTGTGTTAATTTAGTGCTAGCTGTAACAATTTTAAAATAGCGTATCTTGCCCAAGCCTCATAACATGGATAAAGTTTCATTTCAAGGTAGGAGTGACAGGGTTCATACTTTGTAAGCATGTGCTAGTATCTTAGTTCAAATTGTTCTTAAGTACAACAATTTCTCATACTATAAAAATCTTCAATGAACTTTTTAACCTCATCACCATATAGCTTCGATTTGGCTTTCTTTTTGATATTTTCGCCAATGTGATATGTAAATACATAACAAATGTTGTGTTTGTGGATATGTGATCTAAATGGCTGCAATCATTGCAGGATCTCTGTCACTAAGCAAAACCACAGGAAACAGATTATTAGTTGCCTCCAATGTACATCACAAGATCCAATCATAATTGGCTTGTGTTTCATACTTTATTAAAGCTTGTGTGAAGATTCTTGATTTGAAATTATTGTCAATTCCAATGAATAGGCTAAGAGCTATTTCATTCCAGTTTGTTTTAGCCATGTTATTATGAATAATTACATCATGAAACTTGGGCCAGAGTTGGTTTCTCTGTTGACTACTCATCGAGAATAAACCAGTTAATTTATTAGACTTTTTCTCTATACATGAAATAAATACATATTCCGGATCTTGTTCTTTTATATTAAGAAGATGTTGCAATATCATAGCAGTATTAGATTTATTATAGATTCTTATACCTCAAAATTTACCAACAGCATTATTCAGGTTTTTTTTATTTTATGCTTGAGAAATTCCTTTACAAGAAGATTATATTGTTCCCCAGCACTTAGCCGGCCAACTAGAGTTCTTATCCTAGTTGAATGACCCATCGGGTTAGGGAAGGGACAGAAATCAGGTGATTTCAAGTTACTAAGAGGCTATACCCCCACCCCCACCTGATTCAAATATTAGCCAATTAAATTTAACTACAAAATATAAGACCTGATCGAATCACAAACCCCCACCCCCTAACAAATCAGCTGATTTCTGTCTCTTCCCTTACCTGACCCAATGGGTCACGGGCGGGTAGGGTTGTAAACTTACAGTAAGTTTTAATTTTTTAATGTAAAGTAAGTTATAGTCATGTAACTTACATGTAAGTATGTAAGTTAAAATAATGTATCAATTTACTAATCTATAAAGTTCTTATACTATTACAATAGCCGCAAAATTATGTAGTGTCTATAGCCAATTGACCACTAATACAATAATTAGGCTAAATAAACTAAAAGCAAGATAAATCCTTAGTATTTCTACTAAAAATTAATTATTATAGTGTGTAATTGCTTATCTTGAGGAAATACAAAAATAACTTGCATTTTTTCTGCTTATTTTTTTAGTAAAAGAATATGCAAAAGGGCAATAACAAAATCAAAAGTATTTTAATTCACTTACTAGAATTATTTATATATCTATCCAATACACTAACGAAGAGTAAAATATATATTTTTATTGCATTACTGTATATATTTATTGTAATATATATTATATAGTTTAAATTTGTTTAGATTATTTTTTATAACTTACAAACTTACTATACATTATAAATTTTGGATGTAACTTACATGTAACTTACATGTAAAGTAAGTATGTAAGTTACAACCCTAGTCCGAAGCAAATAATCGTTACATACCTATGTATAACGTAAAACATTAATACTGCAACTAAAGATTAGTGCACTGATTGTAGATCATCTTGGGAACTTCTAACTCTTGTTTTTTATTGGTTGTTTCTGATCAACATGCATTTTGAATCCTCGCTATGCTTCGGACAATAAGGGAATCACTTCAACTTCATCATATTCGCGGGACTCATTTTAAAATTCATATTTTTTCCTTTATTGATAAATAATTTCCACAAAATACGACGAATACAAAGTGGCCATCTATGTTGTTATTTACGGACTCACGTTCTGTAGTCGATCATCTTAGTTTTTATTAGTCTTTTACTCTGGACATTGCATTCATCGTAAATGTTCTTGATACGGATTCATTTTTCATATTCTTATTTGGAAGTGGGTTTAAATCGAACTAATTAAAATTGAAGACTAGTTTAAGACTGAGATTATGCAATAATTTAGATTTCTGTTTTCACTTTATGAAATTTACAAATTGCTTAGTAAGATTTTATTCATAAAAAAAACATAACTGTCGCGACAAAAAACTTATAAAAATACATAAAAGAAAAAAATTGAAAAAGATAAAAAAATAGTTGAAAGAAAACAAAGAGCATTAAAAAAACCTGGCTGCTAGGAGAAAAAAAATATATTCACTAATTATAAGTAATAATAATCTTTTTATTTTACTCGTTTTGTTCGGTTTGGTTTCCTGTGGTTCATTTTTCAGGAAATAAACGAAAAAATTAAATAAATAATCATTATTAGCAAAATGAGAAAAAGCGAAGTTAATAACACTAATAAGCGACGATTAGTTTGACTATTTTCTTACCTAAGTTTTTTGAGGAGTATTTCTATTATTAACATATGGAATAAACTGGGTTATTCAACATACCCATACAATAACTATCTTATTGCACGGTGTCTGACGTAACAATCCCGTGCCAATAAGTAAATGAAAAAAGCACGGGTTGTCATATAAGACCCGTGCAATAAAAGTTATTAAAAATGCTAGGTTTTAGTTTTTATAATTTAAATTTTAAGTCAAGTTATAAGAACGGTCGGTAAAATTACCAAAATTGCTTTTAAGCGGTGCAAACTTTGCAGTCTCGCTGATAGTTTATGCCTTGTGCTTTATGGTAAAGGTGTTTTTCTATATCAGCACGTACTTCAATACAAGTGTATGCCTGGCCGTAGAGTTCATTAATGGTGATGTCTGTCACCTCGTGTAAGCCAGACAGAACTTTTACTCCGTTGGTGACTTTTCCACTTTGGCGGACTAGCTCTCTGGTTGCTAGGTTTCCTATGCCGTTAATAATTTCACCTCATACTGCTCCTAATGCAGCATTACCTCCGATATCTCCAAGAGTTCCAAATATTTTTTTCACATCTTCATCATCGCAAGTTTCTTTGACTACTTTATTAGTTGCCCAGACTGCAGCACCAACCGGAATGGCAGCAGGTCCTAAAACGATGCCGGTGGCTATTGTTGCTGTTGTTTTTGCGACAAATTCCCAAAAACCCATTTTTATTCATAAATTCGTAAAAAAAAAAATAAAGTAGTTTAAACTAGAAAAGAGACAAAAGTACTAGCAAAGGAAATGGAATGACCCAACGAATAAAGGTTGGCGGCACTAAACCTACTTATTTCGTAAAAAAGAATTTATAAACTTATAAAAACTTATTTTGATCTTAAAAACGGCAAAGGGAAAGCAAAGCCAAAAACCACGACTTCTTCTGAAAACTTTCTTAAAGTTTCCCTGAGAACAAACACAAAAAACGCCAAGCAATCATACCATTAATCATTATATATCTCAATGTAAAAAATGGATCAGTAATATATACTTTTAGCCGAGATTCACCGCTTTGTTCATGACTAAAAAGACGTTGATTAAAAGGTGCTGATCAAAGAAGTTCTAAAAATATTTCGTTTTTTACTTTCTCAGAGTTTCATCATGTCGGTTTTTTTCAATTTTAGTATATTAACTAGATATATTTTTCTAAAAACTGATTCTTTAAAACTTTTAAAAATTTATTATGTTGACCTAACTTCAACTTTTGAATAAACTAGTTTCATTTGATTTTTTTGCTTAGTTAATATATTTTTATCTTCTGCTTTAATAAACGAATTACATCCTCTTTAAAATTGATTAATTTTCATTTATAACCTTTTAGATATTTAATATTGTTAAAACATATTTGCTATTGGTAAGAGTTCATGTCTAGTTGAAAGCTGATTGCTTCTTGATTTAGTGGTTAATTCTTTATTATAACGTGTAATAAGCTCTTACTAAAAACAATTAAGTAAACTCTGAGATTCGATGTAAAAGTGATTTACAGAATACCAAACTTCTAAATTAATGTAAATCAATAAAATGCTCGAAATTCAAAGATGAATTAATTTATAATTTTTTTTTTTAGCCGATTAATTATTTTAACTAGTTAATATTTAATCATATTTTGGAGGCCATAATTTCGAAATTCGCACTTTGATACATGACATATCTTTATTTTACAACAACGCATATGTGCGCACTCGAATTAACTTGCAAGAACTTGAATAACACGCAGGCGGCATTTTTTTAGGATCAAAGGTCACACACTTCATTTATTAAATATATTCGGTAATCTCAAATTTCAAATTTACCCATAACTATTCACATAAAGCAAATTTATTAGATATAGTTGTCCAAATACAGCTTATATTTTAACCAACTATATAAATATTTAATTACAAGCATATTTTTGTAAAAATGTATGGGAATATAAATTAACCTGACTATATTTTTAATTGCTAATAAGTATCAATAAAATTATATAGTTTTACCTTCAAAGATAAATAAAATTAAATATCTACAGTATCTGTAGTATATATGCGGTATATACAATGTTGAAAGAAAAAATGATTTTTTTTTAAAGAGAACCCAATTAAAACTAATTAAATTAAGAAATTAATTCCGCAGCTTGTAACCATAAACTACTAGGATCAAGAATACTTTCATCATCATAGTATAATCTATGGGTAGCAGATCGAAACATAAATTCATTTATCTGATCAGGGAATTCTAAATCATGAGTTTCACTATAAGTTAATGTAAAGAAAAACATTGCAACATCATTGGCAAAGTTTTTTGGTATTGGAGGAGGGGAATCAGTGGTGTTACTTGTGATATTACCAATTTGGTTATAGAGATCATTTACATTTACTACATTTCCACCAGGGAATGAAGAGTAAGACATACTTCGATTGTAAAAACCACCGACAGAAACAGTAGCGATGTTAGCCTGTTCTGCTATATATTGAGCAGTCTGTGCACAAGAAGATACACAAGCGCCATTAGTAAGTAAAATAATGTCCTTATTCGTCCATGGAGAATTCCAACCATTTATAGCAGAATCATTTAATATATCGAAAAATAGATTTGAAAATTGTACAGTTTTGCCACCTCTTGTGAATTTATTGTTACCAATTAATTCATTAGCGTTCTGAAATGGCTGACCAGTAACTATTGACTGCTCTAGATTAGGAGAAAAACTTAATGCTACAGAACCAAGTCTTTCTTTATCAGCTTCTTCAATAAGGAATGTTGTAACATTATTAATCTTAATGTCACGTGGGAATGTAAAATTTTTTTGCCGTAAAAAAATTTCGTCAAAGAATTGTGCAAGAGGTATGAATCCACCTGTATTACTAGTAAAATCAAGAACAACCTATAATAATTTAAAAATATTTAGAATAAAATTATAAAATTTTTAACAAATAAATTTAGCATAAAAATTTTTATAATACAAACTTTTTTTACTCCGGTTGCAGCAAACGTATTAAATGCATCTACAAGTTCTGAATTAAACTTATTCTGATCAAGTGCAAAAGTTGGGGGCAAGAAATTTGGTACCAACACGACACCAGTATCACCATATTTATAAAATATGGTAAAATTATCAAGATTGCTGATAAGTTGACCAGACATGTTTGCATTAACAAATCCAGATCCTGAATTTATATTTAATCCCGAATTTTTTTGTGGCACGGGAATAGTAGGTTGTTGGGTATTTTGCACGAGGCACAATGACTCATAATAACTTTTGGAATCAGTAAAATTAAAAGTATTATAAGAATTATTAATTATAATCCAAGGTCTTACTAAAGTTTTAGTTTTGCTATTATTACATTTGAGCTCATAAGTAATACTATCTGACTCTGGTAAAGTTATACGTCTGGTAAATAGACTTGAACTTAAAAAGTTCGGATTTATGCCAAATTGACCAGATTGAAATGAGAGAGACGATAATGCCATATTAAATCTTACACCAAGGTCACGGGAATTTTTAACATATTTTTCAGCAAAATTAGTAATGGCTTTTAAAGCAGGGGTACCATCAATGGTAATAACTTCACATCTATTGTTTGAGGAATCTACATCATCTTGAAGAATTTTAATAACCTATCGTTAAGAATCAATAATTTAATGTTTAATAATTATAGTATATTTTTTTATAAATATAAAATATACAATAAACCATCTATCATTTACCTGCTCTCCTTCGCAATTGACCGTTGAATAGAGCCAGATATCTTGGAAGAAGAAAAATGCATTGAAGCAAGCAGGATTAAAATCTGTATGACCGTCCCTAAGATCAATGTAAAGTTGAGATACATCTGACTGTTATCATATTAGAAATATTAGAAACGAGAAAATTTTTATAAACCAAAGAAAAAAAAAACATATTAATTAAATTAAATATATTTATCAACGCATTATTTGAGAGAATATATATAACTTACAAAAAATTCAAACTCTGTTGTATAACTCTTTTTTAGTATCGCATCAAGTTCAGCAGATAAGTCAATAGGTCTGTAGTCAAAACCTTTCACTGGTTGTTCCCTCGCTTGATCATAAAATACATAGAAAGTTTCATATATTCCTTTAAGTGATTCAATTACCTGTTGATAAAAAAAAATTTTTTTTTTATTTAAATAATAACCTTGCGAATTTATTGGTTCATTATTTTTTTAATTTTTAAACTAACTTACTTCAGTAGCCCGCTGAAGATCATAAGGAAAGCTCATGTAACAATTTTTAACGTCCGCATATGTTATATTTAAAGTGGTATTTCCACTTATTGACGCAGCAAAACTTTCATGAATATTAGCACAACCATCTGGCTGATCCCTCTTTCTAAGTGGAATAGCAACTGTCAAAGTTCCAGAGATGGCAAGTAATAGTGCTAAAAATATGAAAATCCGGACCTTAAATAAGTTGTTCATGATTTTAACTTTTAATCGAAAATTTTACATTCAAAAAAAGAAAACTTTAATGCTTACGATGTTTTTCACCCTTTTATAATAACGAATAAAAAATAGAGTAAACCAATATATTGTCATGAAACAAAAAAAGTTAGTAACAAATAATGCAACGACTTAGCCCAATTAAAATTAAAAAATAGTGACAAAATTCAAATTAAAAAGTTGAGTACGTACCGTTGAAAAACAAATTTCTGTTTTTATAAAAAATTGGTGGCTTTTCTTTACCAAGATTGTATGTTTTAGGTAGTATGATGTACATTTTACATGTTACCAAGCATAAAGAAAAGTATTGTATCCCTGTATACTGGAATAGACGTAATAATTTTTCACAATGCCCATTTTGTATTTTCAGATCACCAATTCACTTGATATGGTTTAAATTAGTAAAGATCAACAAAAAAACCGGTTTTTTGGGTTAATTGGATGTGTAATTTGATTCATATTATAGGAGTTTTCCGTTTCAAAGTTATGAAGTGTAACAAACACGTTTAGAAATGAGATCACAATTAAATCTTGTTTTCCAAAAACAAAAAATTTTAAATAAATGAAATATTACTTTTTTTGTTATTTTTTTTTAATAGTTATATATTTCTAGAATATATATGTATTATTTGGCATAAATTACCATTGGAATAAGGCTCTAAAAATTCTTTACTGTAGGAGTTGAACCCAGTGAAGGTAATAAATTCAAAAATAGAATCCTGATTCCAATTTGGCACCGCTTAAAATAATGAAAGATACAGTATATTGTATAAATTATTATATAATTTACATAATCTGATACATAGACTTGTTTTTAGAAATTCATGAAAGATTTAACATGCTTATTCATCATTTATGTGGCATAGATAGATAATGCATGCACGTACATACGTATGTACGACCTATTGTTGACGACAAAGAGGCTGTGGCACTGTCGCAAAAATCCGTACGTACGTACTCACAATGTCGAAGTCAGAATGCCATAGGATAAAAAATTGCTAAACATAGTAGAAAGTCTTTATTCTAATATATCACTTATGTTACATATGAAAAATATTAAATTACTTATGATTACAGTTCCGAGCTAAACTTTTATGATTGCAAACTGATTACAGAAATGCAGTGGTACAGTAATGCTACATTCTAAATACTTACTACCCCTTATTTATGTTTCTCTCATTGAAACCTAAGAGGTTGTAAACAGTAAATAATACTATTCAGTACGTGCGTATGTACTCGATTTGTCACGCAGATCATGTAATATAGGGGACCAAAATTTTATATGTAAAAATTTGCCTTTTTGGCTTATCTAAAAATAAAAAAACTTGTCGGTTTAATTTATGAGTATCATTTTGCAAGTTCTCTAGCATTTGAAGGTTCTTCTTACAAAATTTTGGGGGTGGTTAAAAATAGAATGGAAAAGAATGCGTCCCCAAAGCTTTCCAATTTTCCCCCGTTTTTTACTATTTGTTTAGGTCATAACTCAGCATCCAGCGTACATGATGAGAAAACCAGCACTCTGCCCGGATCTAATCTCTATTTATACCCATGATTAATATTATAACTGTCAAAATTAGTACGTGTAATTTAGAAGTAAATAGTAGATCAAAAATGCGAATAAGTATTGTTTATTAATTACAGTATTGTTAAAATTCTAAAGCCCAATATTAATTAAAACTTTTTGGTTTCAATATAATGTGATCATTATGGACAATGAGCCTGTTTTTTTATTAATAGTAATACAAACTGGCAAAAAGAGCTAGCTACATTACTCTTTACTATATATATCCGACTTTGGTAAAAGACGTAGCGGTGTGATATCCAATGTACTATGTAGATCAAATATATGTATAGTCCCATATAAAAATTACCAGTAGATTTTTTTTTTATCGGTACGTATTAAAAATTACACACTGGTCATGTGTCTAATAATTAGCCAATAAGCAGACACACACCATTTAGTGATTAGACTTTTTTTTTATCATTTGATTTATTTAACGTTCGCTTTTATTTAATGTTCGCTTTTATTTAACGTTCGATTTTTTTCTTTTTTTAAGATTTTTTTTTAGATATAAGTTATTATTTTATAAACTGAACAAAGACAGAATATGGGGTGAGAAGTAGAAGTTCATACAGATTTATTACTATTTGAAAAAAAAGCCATTAGTTTTGACACAAATCAAAAAAATACTTTTGTTGCAACATCTTTCCCAAATATTGTTTGCTCAATTTCTGAAACTATGGGTAATTGTTTTTGACATTTTGCACAAGTCTCTTTGAGTCTCAAAGTTATATTTTCTAGGTCTATATCTCCAGACGACAGCTGCAATTTCGACTGCTTCATAGTAGGTGTCATATTCAGGTGGGTCTTTAGATCTAACTTATTAAAGAGTCCTTCTACTTGCTGTTGGTGGACTATTATAAAATAAATTCGCTCTTTAACAAAACCATATAGCAAAGGATATTCATTAACATTAGAATTAGGGTTCAAACAAAATTCTAGAAACTCATTTTTAAATTCTAGATTATTTTGTAGTTCTTCCCGAAGACTAAACATATTATTGGATATCTCAAATCAATACTCAATAGCTCTGCAAATTTTATTTTACATTCACTTGGTATTGAAAGCCAAAGGGTTCATAAAGCAATAGAATAAAAAGCCCATGCAAATTCATGGCCAGAATTTCCACCTAACTGGCATACTGACAACAGTAAATGTATTCATGGAGACATCTATTTTACAAAACTTTCATATGCTTTATTTATTTTCTGTTCCAAATTATCAAAGAGCTCACTAAATTCTTCATTATTTGGTGATTCAAGTGCCATTAGTAGTTCTTGTGCAAAGAATGCATCAAAATTTTCACAAAGTTCACGTAAAAACTTTATTTTATTCATTTACTTTGTCCGGCATTTCATAAGCACGTTGGCCAGATGAAAGTTGAACAAAACAGTTTTCTACTTTAATATGGGGTATAGAATTCTTTCTGACCATAAATTGCATCAATGGTTCATATAAGTGCTCACCAAATATAATTAAGCACTGAACTTGGATATTTAATTTTTTGTTTAAAAGCCAATTTCGAAATAAACACCTGGTTAGTAAGTATAAGAAAACTTATTAATAGATATATTTAAAATAAGCATTTAAGTTTATAAATATTAATTAAAATAAACCAATCTGAAAGATATGCAACTTGTATATTTTGATTATTCTCAAGTTTCTAAATGAACCAGTTCATAAATTCTATATATGCTTCACACTGGCTAAATATTGCTTTGTCAAACAATTTATATCTTCAATGACTCCAAATTGGCAATTGGTATTGAGAAAAGTGATACCCTAATAATCTGTCATAGAATTTTTGGATCCAACTTGATTTCATATTGAGTGGTTTCCTTTTATTACTTGAGTCATATCTGTTGTAGAGATACCAAGCTAAGTATAAAGGATTATATAGTTGTAGTGTCTGAGAAAATCCTATTGAGAAAGGTAACTTTTCAAATGCTGTTTCTTCAAAGTTTGAAAAAACAATATGCATTATATACAATCCTTACTGTATTTACATTTGCCTTCTTATTAAATTAAACAATTGTGCCTTTTTTATTACCTGACATATAGGCTGTATTATCTATTATCCATGTTAACCATTTTTTTGGATCAAGCCTGTGATTCATAATTGCTTTGAGAGTACTATCTGCTATGATTGGCCTAAGCAATTATTTAAATTCTCAAGATTGGTCACAATAACTGACAATATGTTTTTTATATAATCTCAAAACATAATGCATACTACAAAATATTTAAATTCTCTACAAGTTGATTCATTGACGAGAATTCTATAGCATAAACATTGTTTGGCCTTGTGTATTCTAGCTTCAGTTTCTATTTGTGAAACTTCTTCATGCCAAGTACTTAGGGTCATTACAGATAACCATCTTTATGGAGGCTCTCCAGTTAAAAATTTATAGACTAGGCGTAATGATTCAACTGTCATGGTTAAAGAAGTTTGTCTAACTTGTGATATCTTGGTTAAAAGCCAAACCATTCGGAGTGAGTATTCTCGATTATTTGTTTTAAACAGCATACTAATTTGGTGCTTAAATTCATTATTATGTAGCTGCTTTGATTTTCTTATTAATGTCTGAATAGTTGAAATTCGATTTTTAATTTTATTGTAAAGAAGTTGGTTTAAATGATCTAATAAAGTAGAAGCATGAATTGGGTAAGGGCATATGAAAATAACATGAAATATGATTTACTAAAATTTTTAATACACTAACTATAGACTAGATTTTGTGGACTAGTTTTTGATTACTTCGTATTAACTTTCTATTTGTTGACTTTAATTTGATATTTTCAGCCTTTATCTTTTTAATTTGGTTTCTTGGATCCATAATAAAGTTAAGAGCTTTTTTTTGAAGGTAGGGTAAGATAATTTTATTAGCATATTTGCCTTTTAGATTTCACATTAAATTAAAAAGCATTAATGCATTTGCTTTTTCTGGTTCTGGCATTTTGCAAATTGATTGAAACATTTCTTCTTCATAAGTGGCATTCATAATATTAGTAAAGATTTTATGAATTTTCGGAAGAGATTTGTGATCAAATTTGGTAATTATATTAAAAATTTTTTGAATCTTATTTTTTTGAACTTCTAATTTTTTTAAATGGCGCTTTTGCTTTGGTAGTTTTAGCATTGTAAATTTCACTTCGAATTTTATGAAATTTTATTAATTCAGCAATCGCAGTAAAAACAACATTATTTATTACTTTTTAACAAAACTTTTATAATTGTCTAAGCTAATATTGTTAGCCAAAATTGTTTTATGCTTGTAGAAATATTTTGATATTTGATATTTAGTCTGCTGAAATGTCTAAATATTGCTGAAATCCTAAATTATGCCAAAATGTCTAAATAATATCAAAATGTCTAAATTGTTACATTACACGATCCAAGCCCCAAGCCCATAACCTACTATTGCAGTTGCACGGTGATTGAAGCCCGTAATACAAGCCCATGATTCAAGCCCATGATCAAGCCTAAAGCCCAAGTATTCGATTTGTATGAAAGATGTAATAATTAGTTATTAATTAGTTAGTAATATTTAAGTATTCAATTTGCATAATAAATATAGTTATCAGTAGTAATTAATATTTAGTTGCATCATAAATGTAGTCATAGTTATGTAAAATGTTATAGTGAATTAGTAATAGCGAAAAGAGAATTAGGAGTATAAAAGAACAAGCAAAATGTATTTAGCTCTCTAGTCTGT